CGTGAGCCCCAGTTTCAATGTTTTTCTTCCATACATTGACTTGATCATGGCGTCTCTCCCCAGAAATAGAAGGTTAAGACAATACGACCACAGGCAACTTGGGAAGGAAAGGGTCTATTTCATATTGCAGCTTATAGTCAGCCCATCATGGAGGGAGGAGCAGGCAGGAACTCAAGACAAGGACTGAAGCAGAGACCATGGAGGAATGATGCTTGCTGGCTTGCTCCCCATGGCTCACTCAGCCTGCTTTCTTATAGAACCCAGAGCCACCAGCCCAGCGGTGGCATGGCCCACCACCAATCAACCACCACCAATCAAGAACCATGGGCACAGGCCAATCCAATCGAAGCAGTTCCTCAACTGAGCATCCTTCTTCCTGGGTGACTCTAGTTTGCATCAAGTTGACAGAGAAAGGACAAACAAACAAACCATAACCAGGATAATAAATAAAAATTTAAATTAAAAGTTATTTGAGACTCCCAGTTCCTTACTTCTCCTTCTGATGCTACTCCATTCATCCATTTTTAAAACTCACTATGTAGGCTGATAAGGCCTAAATTTCTGATCCTTCTGCCTGCGCCCCCTGATACGGAGAGTGCAGGCTGGGCCACTGTTTCTCAAGTGCAGGGATTGGACTCTGCAATCCACAATAAGGGCTTGTGCATGTTACACAGACACTCTACAAACGGAGGGACAGCCCCTCCACAGTTTATCCGGTTCCTCCGGCTGTAGTCACCATATCAGTGTGTCTCCTTTTCCTCTGAGGTGATTCTTAAGCTCACGTCTAGGAATCAGTTCAAAACAGTTCTAATCTGAACGCATTCCTGCATCCATCCACCCTTCTCACCCAGGAGGACGATGGCGAAGACTCAAAGCCTACATTTTTAGAGACTTTTTTTTTATGGATGTGCCTGAGTGTGTGCACAGGAATGTAAATGGCCTCAGAGGCCAGGTCTCCTGGAGCTGGAGTTACAGGTGGCTGTGAGCTGCCTGTCGTGGGCACGGAACTAAACTCAGGTTCCTCTGCAAGTGTAGTGCGCATTTCTGACTGCTCAGCCTTCTCCCCAGTGCAACTATACCAACACTTTACCAAGCACGGCTTGGACACAGATGAACAAAAAACTAAAACACAAACCATGACCTAGGGAGAACTCTATTGATAATACCAGACCTCTTTGCTCATTTCTGTGGTTTTATAATTACCCAATCAGCAAATAATCAGCAAAGGAAAGTTTTACATTGAAAAGGAATTTGCCATGTTCAAAACAATATTAGAAATCACTATCCTGGGAAATAAAGCCCAAATTCCTTAAGATCACACACAATAAGCTCAGCCCGTGGCCTGATTTCAAGGCGCATCTCTTACACGCCTCTGTGGTTTTTTAACTAAGTAGTATATATTAGAAATGCTCCTTTGATATGCTCTCAATGTGTAACAATGCTCTTAAAGCATGCTAAATTCTTGGAATTAGCAGTCTCTTGGAGATCAAATAATTATTGTACAGAGACGGAGCTCATTTTTTTGTATGTACCGTCTGTTTCTGGTTTTTTGTTGTTGTTTGGGTTTTTTGAGACAGGTTTTTGGGTTTTTGTTTGTTTTGTTTTATTTGTTTGCTTTTTGTCTGTGTGTGTATCCCTGGTTGCCCTGGAACTCCCTTTGTAGACCTGGTTGGCCTCTAACTCAGAGATCCGCCTGCCTCTGCCTTCGAGTGCTGGAATTAAAGGTGTGTGCTGCCACCACCACCCGCATTTCTGGATACTTCAACTCCACTATTTCTTCATAAAGTAATGCTAATAGAGGATGAAAATTTTCCTAATGGCCCTCTTACGACCTTTATATAGAACGAATTACAACTTGGTTCTCCCTTGTCATTTATGCCTCCATAAAGTATTAGTTACCACTAAATACTGGAGACTTGATGAAGAATTAGTCCTCCAGGGTCATAACGCAAGGTAATATACAGATGTAGTGGTACACACGCATCTCATCACTTAAGTATATAAGACAGCGGG